ATAATAGACGTTCGAACATTTTACTGTGCACTTTTCCTTTCACCGTAAATCAGTTGCGAAAGAGATCTAATAAAGCTAACAACCAGGTTGGTTGGCACGCTCTGCTCCACAGAAAAATGTTTTTACTCTTTCAAAATAAGTAGGTGGAGTTTGAACGTCATCTATTACAGCATTTACTGCCTCTTTTATATCTTCACCTGTAATTAATGCTTTTACTTTATGCTTTATAAAACCTCTGCTAATTCCTTCATCTCCTTTCCCATACTGATTATAATACTCCATATATAATTCATTAAAAACATACTGTGTTGCATCTTTCATTAATCTACTCATGTCATCTTTTACTTTAGGATTCATATCCCTTTCAAAATAAAAAGCATCAAAATTGTCTTTTAAAAATTCTATCTCTTTACGATTACAACCTAGAAGAAATTGTTTAGTAAGTTCAGGAGTTTTGTTATTTACTTGCTCGTTTGCTCCAGCTATAAAATTATTTATTTTTTCAAAGCCGCCAAGCGTGTAAACAACACGAACAAACATCCCAAGATAACATAGATCTATTCCCTCTTGCAACCGAATTCGCAATACGTCTTTCAAGAGAGTCATATCTAATTTTTGTTCTCGGGCTGCAGTTAAAACTAAATTTGCAGCTTGTGTAAGCGTCATTTTGGTTTGGGATTCTGCCCAATTTTGCCTGTTAGAACCATCAAAGTTAAGGTAGTTCTTCAGTAGATTTTTTTCCTGATCGTTAAGTTCCTTTGAGTTCTTGATATAATTCTCAAATTCTTTATCCAACACATTCGGCTGAGTACCATACTTTGTTTTGAGCTCTTGAGCACATCGAATAACACTATGTTCAAAACTCTTCGTATGAACACTCTGACCACTGCTACCTACATCGCTTGTATTAAACAAAAAGCTTAGTTGTGCTACATTCAACCCAAGCGGTGAGAATAATTTTATCAATGGATATTTTATTAGCTCAAGCAGTGCCACTGGAGCTAATATTATAGCATTTAATAACGTTAAGGCTGCGCAAACCACAATCCCATTGCCTCCTTTTCCATGGCCGCTAAAAATAGCATCGAGCACCCACTTATTGACTAATGATACCTTCGACGCACAGTATAGAAATGGTCGTTGAATGCAATATACTGCATATATGGCACAAAACAGTATCTTATCCTTTAGACTTATTGTTGGGTCATTATATATTTCAAGAAACATATTCTGATTATCTGACAAATTTGTATTTTTGAAAGACTCATAACTACTTTCAATTTTCTCTGTAAAAGCAGAATTTACTTTATGTATCAAATAACAGGCAAAAGGAAGGACAATCAAAGCAGCCATTACCACCAACACACTTAATGTTATAGCTACTCCTTCACTTGCGTTTTGTGCAAGAAAAAATTTACGCAGCATATCTATAGCCATACCAAGATAAGTTTCAAAAAGAATCTGAAGAAAAACAGCTGCTGCAATTGCAGCAACACAAAGTGCTACAATACCACAAATGTCGAGGATTTTTTTTAACGTTGGATTTATCATAATTACTACTTCACT